TGAGGACGCTCGTCCACACAACGGGCGGATGGATAATTCCTTTTTAGTGTGGGGAGAAAGCCACCGTTTGCGACGACGATGGACCGCGTGACCACGCGGCAAGAACAGAGACGACCCTTACGAGGCTCATGTTCCTCTTGTACACATTTCCCATTATTTGCCGCCTGTGATGGCTGAGTCCGCTTCCTGCCTGGATGTAAAGGCATCCTTTTCTAAAGTCTCTTTACCGCGGGATACTCGGCATCTCTTTCGATGCCGCGTGGAGGACGGCATGCTGGTGGAGCCGACACGGCTCCCAATGGGATACAAGGCCGGCCCAGAAATCCTCCAGATTATTATTACTTCGGCAATTGCGAGGCTGACGACGGTGGTTCGCCGCCTCTGGGCTGCACCTCCATTGGTGCGTGTCAACGTATGGATCGATAATATACGCATTGCAGGGTCGAAAAGCAATGCGATATTGTGGGAGGCCCAGGTGCTTCGTAATGCAGACAGTTGCCACACCACGGTGGGGGAGGACCGCGAATCGGGCGCCACGCAGTAAACCCTTTCTGGGGTGCAGTTTGATCACTCACCGTGCGGTATCCCTGAGTGAAAGGTTTGTCCGGTCTGTATGCGCCGTGCCGGCGCTCAATTCCTTAACCATCGCGGAAATGGAGGTTAAGGCGTCACGCTTTTTGTACGCGGCCGCCATTTTGGGCACGCGTTTATGCGACCACCACTTTTTCATCAAGACATTGCGACGACGATTATCCGCACTTGACCGGGGGATCGTGCAGGAGACATCCCCGGCGTATCTGAGTGCCGTCAGCGGTTGGTTCGGGCGAGAGATTGAGACACATCATCCAGAATAATTGTAAGCGAATCATCAAGCTCACGAAAAAGGCATCGGCCGCCAACATCACAGACGCATCGCTCCATGGATGGGGAGCCGTTTTTATTCCAGACTTCGGCGACGTTAGAATTGCCGGAGGGAAATGGGAGAGGAAGCCTTTTCTTATCATGCAGGCCGAGGCACGCGCGGTACGCCTTGCCGTGTCGGTCATTTCCGACATCTTGCCACCCACCATGGACATTTGGGTAGACAACACTTCGCTGCAAGGAGCGGCGAATAAAGGCAGCTCAAAATCACACGCCTTGACGTGGGGGCTGCAACGCGCACGAAATGAATTGTCGCCTTTATTTGCTCGGGTCAAAGTTCACGGCAGCAGCAAATGGACAACCACCCTCCAACACAGCAGATGTAATCGTCCACAGCCCGCTTTGAAAGGCGCAGAGGCAGACAATCAGGTCGGCGTAGCTCACACCCACCATGTGGTACTCTTGTGGGACGGTAAAGTTATGGCAAACCCCCCAGATCGGTTCGCGGCACAAGGATGGGACCCGTCACTGGCTTCACGGAGAGACGCTCAGTGTGCGGCTTGGTTGTAGCGGGGAGGATTTGCCTTGAAAGGACATCCCGCCGTGCGTCCGTCAAGAAGTCGTTCGAGTGGCATGTTCTTCGACCGCCATAATGGTCAATGCGCATTTTCCCCACGGTGGTGCAGTGCCTCGACGGGTCGTATGGATCCTCCGCGGAAACCTTGATGCGGAGCAGCTCCCACTCGCTGTTCGCATCTTATGTGGCGACGATGTGCGCCTGCGTCGCGGCCTGTCCTTTGCGCGGCACCTCACGCACCACCTCAGACGGCCGCGGGCTGCTCCTCATCATCCCGTCAGGTCCACAGCGTTGCTGCGTGGCGGGGTCCGCGGCGAGGCACCCACTGGCGCAGGGGCGTCATCGCCGTATTGGCCGCCCAAGAACTATGAGAAGGAGTAACATTTCCTCTTTCTGTTCATTATAAAAATAGGAAGGCAGAGTGGAGTCAGTCAGAATCAATAATTTGGAACAGATCGTTTGCCACCATGAAACATGAAGGATTTGGGTGTGACCCAAATCCGCACGAAAGGATAAAGCAAAATAAATGCACCGTGAGAGCCTAAAGGTCATAAACATCACCGTCAAAAAAAGAGCGCTTCGCAGAGCAATGGCGCTGGCAAACGGCTTCTTGCGCCTCGTACACATTGCGAGCGCGCAGAGATCTGCGCCACAGAATGATGCCTTTGTGCTGGACACTCTTACAAGCCTCTTCCATAAGTGTGATCAAATCATCCTCGTGCAGCGGATCCTCCACCACAAAGACACTGTACACGCTTCGTGCCAACTCTGTATGCGTGGCTGGAAGATCTGCGCAGAGCCGTTCCTTTAAGAAAACAGTGAGAAACTCATCGCTGAGAGAATGCTCCTTCCTATTGCATGAAGATATGCCACCGGAATTGCATCCTGGCAATGGGACATCCCAAAAATGGTGGAGCAACTCTTCAAACGAGGCGTGCACTTTATTATCCCCAGTCGCATCCACAGAAGAAGCACAGCACCTGTCCCAGCTACGGAGTAGCGGCCAATGCCTCTCCACCAATTCACAGCACGTCAGGGCATGCACTCGTTCCGCATCATATAACACAGGCAAAAGAGACCGACCGCTTTCAGCCACATCCTCCGCCGTGACGGAAGCTACGCCGCAAATCAACAACACTACCCAGGTTCCAAAAGACCGGACATTTATTTCCTTCCTCATGAAATCTCAATGTTCCCCCCCATGAACAGACAAGTGGCTCCCAACCGCTTCACCCTAACCCCAAGACCTTTTTGGCTCTAGATATACAACGAAAAAAATGAGAAACAAGTGATCAATTCTTCTTTTTTATTATTATTTGAAGTTATCCAAATAAATTCTGACAGATTAGCAGTCTTTTTTGTAAGCCTTTGCCTTGGCCACCCTCTCTCATCACATTGGAGTTTTCCCTCTTGTTGTGTCGGCCCTACATTTTCTTCTGCACTGTAACACGCTCCCCCTACTCAAAACAAAACACCCATCTACAAGGAAAATGCGACGGCCAAGAATTTAATACAGAGGCCGCAGAATAAATTCCAAGGCATAACAATTGGACGTGAGTTTAAAGTCCTAAAGAACTAGTCGTAGTCATTTTTTCATAAACTTTTTAATTTTTAAGGTAATTGACATCTATAGCCTCCGGCAACTCTACTTGTCCCTCGCTCTCAGTGGCCAAAGTGGGCTGCAATGCGCCCTCTAATTCGTTAAAAATGTCTCTGTCCCAACCAATGACGACGGAGTACATGGGAATATTCACGGCACGCCAGTTGTCAAACACTGACTGTGTCACATTCAAAAGGGCCACTGCATTCCTGTGGTCTATATTTCCAGCACGATAATTTAAAAGTGGTTTTGCAGCTTCACCAATAAGACGATTTACCTTTTCCACGGTAGCCTGAACTTCTGCCAAAGAATTCCGCAGGGACTGTCGCTGCTCTTCACTCCTGCTTTCAATTTGTGAGGTAAGCTCTTCCTCCAACACATTCAACTTTGCACGTACACGTTTAAAATGCTCACACAATTCTTCTTTCCGTTCTTTTTCGCATGTGTCTATATCTCGTTCTGCGGAGCGAAAAAGATTGTTAACGGAATCAATCTCTTTCGTAAAGGTTTCCGCATTTTGAACCCAACGTTCGAGTCCTGGCGCCTCCATTCGAACTGCCTCAGCCACCAGTAGGCAATTACTATTGCTGTATCCATCATAAAAAAGGCAATGACTGCATAACAGCCTCTTCTCCTCTGGGCACCAAAATTCCACCTCCTTTCCCGAATGTTTCTGGCAATTGATTGCATCCAATGAGATGACGGAAGATGGTTTTGAGGGTGTATTTGAAGCATTCGGCTTTATTCCTACCGTTGTTGGTGTTGGTTGCAATTCCTTACCTAACTTCCCCCCTTTTTTCATTGGATAAGATGTCATGGCCGGAGGCTCCACTGCAGGTGTCATGGTGGGGTTATTTGGCTGACGGATTTTGTTTGGAGCATAGATGCTAACAACAAATCGCGGGATCATCTGATCTGGGTGGAATATGACGCAGGCATTACAAGAAGCAACCGAAATGCTGTCATAACCGTCACTGTAAAGTGTGTTAAAACACTCTTCCATGGAAAAGTGCTGCAATAGTCTAATTTCTTCTTCTTCAAGGTAACGGGATTTACCCACGGCTACGTCAAAGGCAACAAGACACCAGCCTTGGCGTGCCAGTTCTACAGGCGTTTTTTCACAAAATCTTGCTGCAGTTCCATCGTCGCGGTAAAGAACAATACCACGGGGGCAAAGTGTATCCCAATCGGCCATATTTTCCAGCGAACGACCTTCTTTGATACTGGCTAGTG